GGCGCAGGCACCGGGGCACCCGCGGGGCGCTGGCGGACAGCGCGGCCCCGTACAGCGAGTTGACGCCTAAGGGAGATGATGCAGTGGAAATGGCCGCTGGGGTTGGGGACGGGTGTAGGGACTGAAAACGAAAAGGGAAGAAGTGAACGGACGCGTTTGTATTTAAAAAAAGAAAAAAAAAAGCAGGCCGTGTCAGACCTCACAGGAGATGGGTCCGTAATCATCCTACTCGCTTTCTAGCGTGGCCCTGCAGACATCTCAGTTGTGTAGGTACTCCCAAAAAATGCAACTCCCTATCTTACAAACAGGCAGAGACAGGACCTGCTTAGGCTGTTGGCTCTGTTTATTCCACTTCACGCTGGCATCCAGTATGTTTTTCCTTGATGCTTGGTGAGTACATGAAAAGCCAAATGTCCTTCCCAAACTAATATCTGTGTACTGCTGCTGAACTACTTCACAAGTTTTCTTTTTTCCCTATTTAGAAAGAATGATGGGTAAAACTAATGAACTTAGTGCTACAGCTGTTTAATGATTAACCAAAAAGTTCAGGATAAGCTCAATAGCAGTGAAGACTAGATCTTCATAGGTACTGGAAAAGTCTAGGAGTTTCTTGAGAGTAGAATTCCTTAGCTGCTTGTTGTGATCTCACTTTCATAGGATGAGAGTGTGAGGAAATTACGGAAGACAAGTGCTTCCAAAGTATCTGGAAAAGGAGTGAAATCTGCGCACAGGTAAGGATAAACTGACTAATGTTTGAAAGCGAAGTTACCTCTGTCCTTTTACCAGATAACACAGACTGACAAGCCTGCATAATTTGTTAAGCATTAAGTTAGTATTTAGAAATGTAAATACTAAATTAATTCTATTTCAATGGACATCTGTTGATGCTCATTTTCTTGAAACAATCAGGCATTCATAAAGTATTTTAAAATCAAAACTTCAAAATTAACAAAAGTTTTAAGAGAATTACTTTTTAATCGCCTCTAAATTTGACTTGAAAGTACTGCTTATGAAGTGGATGAAGCAGTCTGGGGAAATAGCAATACCTTTGAAAGATGACATATTGGACAGTCTGGGAACTGAATCCTAGCTGACAAAGAAGAGAATTTCATCAACCCTTTCCAATTTTACCAGAAAAAGTTTTCATTTGTTTGAAAATTCAGTTCTCTTGCTCCTGCAGCTGGGTTTCATTGTAAATATGTGAGATTGGGCTTGCACACTTGTAGAGGTCCTTCTTATGCACAGGGAATGGAGTGACCCCCATGCATTGACATTGCAATTCGATGTGTAGCAAAATATAAAACAGCAGAAGTTATTTCAGCACTAGTGGAGTTCAGAGAGCAAGAAGATAATCACATGAAAACTACTGTTACAGATATGGCAGGAGAAGAGTAGACTATGTTTATGTGGATGGTAAATAGGAAAAAAAAAAGGCTAGATGCCATAATTACAGCTTGATGAAAGGCCAGTTTCTGATACAACTGTGACTTGTGCTGAAAGGTTTCTTCAGAAGAGTAAGACTTTAGGGAAGAGCAGCCCCAAAGTCTGGCATTCAAAGTACACACCTCACACCAGGAATGTGAATTAAAAGCAAAGTGAGGGAACAGGAATGTCTGTTGTGAGAACTAGAGATTGACTAAGGGAGAGGTGGCAGACTTAGGCAACTCTGTCCTATCTGCACACATAATGGGGGAAAACTGTTGCTTCACTGGTGAAACAGAGACTGCTGTCTGTCATGTCTGTCCCATACTGTAAAGTTAGTAGAGGGAAGTAGCAGGATTGAGGGAAGTGGAAATTTCATCGGTTCCAAAAATATTGTAACAGCTCTATTAACAAAGAGGTTGCTGAAACCTCATGCATGTTTGGGAGTATGGTAAAATCGAAATGAGGAGACAAGATAACTCTTCAAAGAAGGCTGCAACCTGGCACGTTCATCTTGCAGAAGGGCAGAAAACTTCATATGTATTTTGCCTTCCCCTTCTACCAGTCAGCTGGCTTCTGTTGAACTTCAGTTTCATGGACCACGTGTAGACCTCAGACAAGTTGGTGAGGGGATAGGTAATGGTATTTGGGGTGGTTAGTCCTTACACTTTTGCAGAAAGGAAGCTGCTTAGGGTTGTTTAAAATGATCAGAGAATCTCTTTGCAGAGGCAATAGATAGAAGGCTCTGAGAAATTTCCCTATTGCTTCGATCTTTCCTATGTTCTCTCTTTAATGTATATTTCTCACTCTGTTCCTTCTGATGGACATCACAAAGTGGTCTCATCATTCTTCTTCTGCAGCAAAAAATGTTATAGAGGGTGTCTTGTTCATCACAGATAATATACTGCGTAATCAGCAAAAAATGTAATGACCATTTATCATACTAACATTTGTAAGTGGAAAGACTTAGTCCTTTTTCCTACCTGTACAGCAAGTTAAAGTTACTTTCAGTGTATTCCAGTAAAAATCCTGTTACTCAGCTCAATTAAATCCCTTGCCTGTACCTGTACACAGGGTTCCATCCTTCCTTAGATGAGTACTTTGCAGTTTAACCAGTGCTCTGGCTATTACATGTTTTACCTGTTGGTAAAGATACGTCTGTTATCTTTCCCATATAATATGTTTTGAATACAACAGCAATTTTCTTGTAAACTTTTCACCTTCTTTCCTGAACCTGTGCAGATTATATCTCTACCCATTGATCAAAAAATGAACAGGAGAAGAGATCATATAGTACGTAGTCGTTTGGGGAAGAGTAAACTGGGATTTTACCATTGCTTTCTTGGTCAGAAAGAGAGATGGTGAAAGCATTGTGCACTTGAAAGGTGCAAGTTACTCTTACAGTTTAGTACTCTACAATACTGTGTCTAATTTTTTCCTTTTGTTTTAGAAAGGCACTTTTTTTTTTTTAACTCATGGAAAGTTTGATGGTCTTCCTGAAGGTATAGTAGATTTTAGATATACTCTTGGTTTTATATTTTCTGTAAATAACTGAGGGATTCAAAGCGGGGATTTAAGCATAGTTTCATGTTGATATTCTTGTATTATGCTGGACATACTACTTTGTTCCTGATATAATTATTCACAGTTTCAAAAGCAGAAAATTAGAGATTCTTTCCCTTGAAGAATAAATAAATATTTATTATTTTAAGTCCTGAGGGTAAACTACTAATGTGAGGGTTAATGGCAACACATTACACTTTTTCCTGAGACCTTTCATCAATGAAGTGCTGTACTCTATGTCCGTATGTAAGGAAATGTGGTGGCTTGAAAGCAAAGATGTGATTCCAGACCTGCATAATCTATGACTGGCTATCTGTAGAGGATCTAACGCCTGTGTAAGGTACAGCCTAGCTCTGTAACGGTGGCTATGGAGTAGCAAGAAGACATGGGATGGGTATGTCAATGGAGGAAAAATAGCATGGGAACTTTGGGGGATCTGAAGTGCTTAGACAAAAGCACGTAAGCTCTTCATGTAAATATGAAGAGAATATGAGAAGATGGGAATGCAGGAGGTTTGAGAGAAAGGGGTTCAGAGGAAGAGAGGTTAGGAGGGTTTTGAAGTGATTTTGAAGAAAGATAAGGCGGTAAGGCTTCAGTCATGAAAACGAGTATAAGGCAGGACACAGGAGTCATCCGATCTTAAAACAGGAGACAATTGAAGCCGTAGTGGCAATAAGAGGACAGAATATATATAACCCTAAGTGAGGGTTCTTATTTGCATTTCAGAGTTTCAAGCCAGGTTTGCCAGGCTTGCGTTTATTAAATTTTCTTCTGTTTCAGCAAATTCTTTTTTCTTATATACCAAGTACCAGCTACTGTCTTATTGCTAGGGTAACATCAAGCGCTGGTATTAGCAATGCTTTAACATAATAGGGAGTTACTCTGTTCAGATAAAGAGAAATGCTAACTTCTTAAAAAGCCTAGAAAGGTGCTGCAAAAAGGAAGGGAATAATCTCTTCCTGGTCAGTGGATAGGATGTAAAGTAACAGGCTAAAATTGAAGGAAATGAGCCCCTAGAAAAAAATGTTGTATCGGTAACAGTAGTGAAACACTGGAATGTACTGTTTGGGAAGGCTGTAAATTCGTTGTCACAATAATATTACCATTAGGTTAGTTGTAACACCTCCCTTTGTTTTGCCCTCTCGTGAGCACAGTTGTCCTGTTGACAGTTTGTTTAAATGAAAATCACACAGTTTTTAGAAAGTTTTCATTTCTCTGACAGTAAGTCCATAGGACAGAGTGCAGGTATGGATTCTGAAATAACAGGAATATTTCTATGAGGCACTGCAAGCAGCATTATTATGACTACTTAGTCCTGTAAAAGTGAGATTGGAAATTACAGAAAGACTATACATAGTGCTTACAATGTTTAAAAACAGTCTGAACGCAGAGTACTGGAAACAATCCAACTGCTCCTAGGACCAGGTATATTCACGTTTCCAGGTGAATGCACATTTCCATATATTTTGGACAAGCTAAAGTTTGCTGAAATACCAACATGCCAGGAAGATGGCTGGCAGACACCTTTTCCCTTCAGACAGTACCATAAGGAAACTGATGTTTGCACTAAGGTTCAGATTGTCCCTTTCTGTGCTGTTCCTTTAAAGTGAGGGGGAGAGAATAAATGCAAAGGATTAAGGAGAGGTGACCTTGTCACCTAGGTATTTCTGTAATGGCATCCTGTGTGTGCATTGTTTAGCACATTCAGAGACTTTTTTTGTTTGTATCTTACTCTAATTTGCGCATTTCTCTGTGCTGTTTTAGAATTCTTGGACAGTTGTCCTTGAAGAAATACATGTGCCTTCCAGCAGTTTTAAATTGCTTTTGATATGTTTGATATCCTTTTACATCTGCAACCCCATCAGAATCTTGCTGAGTTCTTGACTGCAGTGCTTCCTGTGGTAATTATATTTTCTGCAGTTTTAACCACACATTGTGTGGAAAAAGCATTTCCTTCTGCCTGTTTTTAATCTGCCATCTTTTAATTTCACAGAGTAGTCCCTTTGGGGCTTTTGAAATTTGAAAAACAGAAGTTCTTTATCTTTTCCCTTTACTCTTTCTTTCCTTTATCATTTCCTTTGTTTCTTTTTTGTTCTTCCATGTTCAGAGCTAGCCAGTCCCACTCATTTGAATCTTTCCCCAGAGGAGGCAGTCGTGCCTTTGAAGAGAAATCTTCTCTTAAACTCTAGGAGGGCTGCAATGTCTTTTTGAAAGAGAGTATCTGGGAGAATATTGAGTATTCCAGAACTGTTCCACCAGCAGATCAGAAGTCACTAGAATATATCTGTCGTAACTCACTGACTTGTTCTTATTGGAGCTCAAGTTCTTGTTATTCTTGATCATACTACTTACTAAGCAGAGGTTTTCATTGAACTCATACAGTGCCACTAAGGTTCCTTTCTTAAACTGAGTCCATTAGCTTGACTCTTAAGATTTTGGGAAATTTAATCTCTCCCTGTGCTATGTCACATCATAATTCATGTTACTGAGCTTCCTGAAGGTCTGTACTGTCTAACTTGTGACATTCTTAGCTGTACTCCCTAATTCTTTTGGCTACGTCTTTAATAGGGACTAAGGGGGATGATGTCCTTTCACTGCAAACTCTTTTACATGGTTACTAAGAAATAGAAAAGCTTCGGAGTAATATCACTTTCATGTATTTTAGTCCTCCTCAGCAG